CTATTTGAATGTTTCCAGAGGTGTTAAGGTACATCTATAAGTTAGTCATTGACATGAAATAGTACCACAAACAAAATGAAACCAAATCAAAAGCCAGTAGCAGGCTTCCTGTATACTTTCCTGTTTTTTTCTTTTTCTGGTCTTAAATATGCTTTCTGGGGTTAATTCTCCCTTCATGTTGCTAATTGTTAGTACTGCAGCCCAGAAAAATGTCCCACTACCAATGACCTTCACCAGAAACATCCATTTACTCTCATATTTTGTGTGTTTGGGACCATGACACACTATGCTCTACCCTTCCTATTAAATTTTGTAACCTTTTAAGTAGTAAAATGTTCTGCATCTATCCCAAACTGGAAGGAATTGTTAGGAAAAAACACCATAAACACCCTAAGATAGGCTATTGCCTAGAATAAATACAGACAGCTGAGTTGGAAAATGAGTTCTCTAGTTACAGCTAAAGTTAAGGGAGTAGAAGGCTAAGTAATTCCAGCTAGTTTTACATGAGCTTTGGTCACAGTAAACACTGAATCATGTTATGTTATTTAAAGTACACTAAGCATGTTTTCTAACAGCACACTTCACTGGTATTGTTAAAGTATCTACCATTATCAGAAAAGGTAGCATATACAAGGCATCACTGATTCAAAGCCAAGACTTTTATGAAGACCCCTTTCACTTTCTTAGTTTATAAGCTCACCACTGTCTGCCCAACTGTTTGTAAAACACCCAGTATGACTGGGCCACAATATGCAACACCGGGGGTAAAAGACTGCACAGATTGTGCTCTGTCAGTGGTCAGATCTCTGAGGAAAGGAGCAGTTAATTTATAGAGATACACATGCAAGAAGAATATTTATGGATTTTACATTCCCAGATACACATTTTAGTAACATACAGGCCTCATCACCAAACCCAGTGCTGTCATCTGTTAATGCATGACATCAGTCTTGTTGCTCATTTAGAAAGGGTAGCAGATGAGATCACAGAGTCATTAAGGGCTGGAAAATACCTCTAAGATCAGCTGAACTATAGGCCTCCCTGAAGATAGCCTGCTACACTCAGTGTCAGCATGCAATGAACTGAGAAGTCAGCCAAGCCACAGAGACCTTTTTTGAGAGGGGCTAAATCACATGACAGGACCTCCCCCTGGCAAACTGACAGGGCCAGGCTGCTTTTAGCAAGGACAGCTACTCCTGAAAAAGGATGGTAATGGTGTAAAATGATTAGCATAGGAGACTGTTCAAGGGCAAAGCACATTTGCTAATGATGACTATTGTACATTAGCCTGCTGCTGGGTCCATGCCATCAGAAATAATTTGTTAAAAGGTAAAATTCTGGAGACCAATAAGGCACAGAGGCCTATTCCAACAGAAACAAATTAGAACAGAGACATCCTTTGAAACATGGGCAGCTTATACTTCACTGTGAACACTTGCTTATGAGTTCCAGGCTTTTCAACAAAAATCAAGCAACAACCATCATTTAAAGTACATTCCAAATTCAAACATCACCTAAATGGCTGTGCAAGGAACAGTCCATATTCAACAATGGCACACTCCTTTGTGAGCTAGGAAAGTACCATTCTGCCCATCTGTCAGATGGAAAGCAGGAAGTACACAGAGAAGCAGGGCTGATTTTCCTGACTTACACAGATTCATTCATAATTTGCCTTGGCTCATGAAAAGACACCATCTTTATACTCACATTTCTTGATTCGTGACACCAAAAAGAATGGTAAATTCAGTATGTATTTGAAAATCACTGGTTCTGGGTTATAAAAGGTTACTACTTAAAATGTACAAAGTTCCAAAAGGAAGGGTGCAAGCAAGTAGATCCAGCAGCAACTATCAGGTGTCTTGTAAATACATTCTGTAACCTACAGGTGTGTAGATGATGTTATACTGACAGCCAAAATAACCATCTACCCAGGACAAATAGCAAATTCTGAACTACTCAGATTTTTAAGAATTTTCCCAGGAAATGTGAAAAGTCAGAAGGAAATTAAAAGAAATATCAGTAAGAAATCTTTTTTAATTGCCCTTGGTTAAGCCATTTTTTGTATCATCTAATTAGTCACTTTTCCTGAGCATGCTAAAAATGTTCTCAGGTTTTGTGATAGGTTTCATCATTTTGCTTTTGTCACTGCCCTGGAATTATTGTCCCTCTTAAAAATCTCTTTGTGCAAGAAGTAATTTTACCTTTCAACATCCAGTCACTGAATGTAGTTATCATTTTGCCTTTTACTGTCAAATTTCCATCAGTAAGAAACTGTGTCATCCTGAAGAACCAATTAATTTCTATTTAATAAGTTATACTCATTTTGTAGAACATACTTTCTATTAAATTCTTGTATTATTCTTCTCATAACATCCCAGTCAGATTTCAGCATCCCTCTTGAAGTACTTCCAGCAAAATTGGACAATCAATTCCCCACAACATTTGCACTCATCCCCAACTCAGAGGAACTCTCAAACTCTTTAGAACATTAGCCATTCTAGCTACAGGTTTGCTATCACAGTTAATATTCATCTGATGATTCAGTATGACTTCCAAACTCTCCTCAGAATCTTGAGATATCAGGGCATGCCTTAATCTGAGGAATTTCATCCTTCCTAGACACACAGCCCTGCTTTCGATAGTATTCTTACATGTGTGAGCCTTAAAAAAAAAGAAGATTCACTTTCTTAGAACTACAAAACACATATAGTTTGTAATTTCTGTATTGCAGAGGGCCACAGCAAAGGTCTTCTTGCCATATTCAGGCACTATTTTCAGTGAAAAAATATGAAACACTGCTAAGGAAGAATCTTCATGATATGCAGAAGTGTGAAGGAAAATAGAAATCTTCAGCTATTCCTACATTAGGCTTTGTTATTGATATAAGCCTTGTGAACCAGAATTTGAGAGAAAAAAAAGCCCAAAACCTTTTTCTAGCAAATCCAATTGTTTTGTCATAAAACAGATTGGAGGAAAAAGCCATCAGAGACTCTCTGTAGACTTCTGAAGTGCTGAAATTAATCCAGGCATACTACTAATTTAGCCTACACTTTCAGAACACATGACAGATCTGAAACTTTATTAATCATCCCACATAAACATGGAAAGAGAGAGCACCTTGTTCATAAATTATTGTAAATCTTTTTATTGCCTAGGAGGATCCAATTATTTTGAATGTTTAAGTGACAAAATAATTAAATTATCAAAGTCGTACAAACCAAAGCATTAAACTAATTCCTATCCCACCTTTGTTTCTGAAACTGAGAGTATCTAGGTAATAGAGGTAAACTGGAAATTAGAGAGATTAGGCATTGTTTTCAGTAGCTAGGAGTGTTCCTGTAAATCAGGAAAAAGTTTGTTGGCAAACAATTCACATGTTTAGGAAAAATAAGGAAATGAAAGTCAAAACTAGATTTAGAAAATACAACTAAAATGATAATGGAGGAGAATAGATTGTAGGATCTAACTATTTTAGGATTCATTGACAGGATGTGAATATCATTAAAAGGTGGGGAAATGGAACATAAAAATAATTCCAAGATGTTGTTTTAGCAGAGGAGGGTTTGTGTCAGATTCTAGCTTTTTATATCAAATGTTTTTGACAAGCTCTACTACAGATAGCTTTTACATCCAAGAAATGGAAAATCACACGTGAATAAGTACATTCAAGAAAAAGTTAGAGAATTTAAAGTCATTTTCTGCAAGAGAAAGAAAAATCAACAGTCAGGATGTTCTTCTGATGGAAACATCTAGGTAACCAGGATAGAATCCCATTTGCTTGAGTCATGCTCATGATCTTTCAAAGTCTGACCTATACACCACCTCTTGTACTATTCACGTTGTTTTCACTACTGGCATTTAAATTACACTAAGTCAAAGGCAGTCCTATACTGCAAGCATTATACACAACAAAACCAAAAGGACCAGTATGTAAAAAATACTTTCAGAATGTCTTATGAGCACTTAGAGCTGCCCTGTGGATTTCATAACTGCTTGTTAGGGACAAATAAATGGGGAGATTCAAGCCGTGGTCAGTTTTTTGCAGCCCATCAGTGCAGACAGTGCACAATGGGAGCTGTCACCCTGGACCTTCTTCATCAAATACTGACAGAGGTAGGCAGATTTGCTCAGGGTTTATGGGATTAACATGGGATAGCACAAAGACTGAGGATTAGGATAATGTCTAGCTGAAGTAGGAGTAGGTGGAAGGGGTTGAGGCTATCACAAGGTTTTTTGGAAAGCAGGCGTTACCAGTTTGGAGAAAGTGCAAGCCAGAACCTGAGGCATTGCAGTCAGTTCTGATGAAGACATCGTAATAAGGAAATTAAGGAAAAAGTTTGCAGTCAAAGGAATAAGGATTTGGAGGAACAGTTACTTTCCCCTAGTGGGAGCCACAAAAGAGACCTATTCCACTACCAACACTGCTAATTCTAATTGCTAATTTGCATATGGTAGCACTCAGTTGCAGTGTCAGATCAGCACTGGAAAACCCCATAAGCGCCAGTGCAGGACATTCACACAGCTCTGAAAACCCCCAACAGAACTATTTGTCAGGTCAAGTCCCTGAGTCACTATCTGGACAGAGAAGAACAAACCAAATTATGATAGGAGTTGTGGTCATAATGTGTGGAAATGGTTCCTTTTCTAATCTGTATTTCACTTATTGAGAACTCAAGCACTTATTTTATGGAATTATTTTAGTTAGCTGCAGAAAGCCAGTGATCAGATTTCCCAGTAACAGGAGCTTTTTTCCAAAGTTCCCTGAAGTCAAATGGTTACTAAAAATCACTTATTGCCTTTGCCAAGAACTGCCATCTCTCAAGAGATCTCTTATTTGCAGAAGTTGTTCAATTTGTGATGTTAGAGTGATACTCTTAAGAAAATGCAAATTCATTATATTTTTTTAACCAGCCATGATACAACAAGTATTCAAAACAGAAACCTGAAACCACAGCCTGATGGTATTTTATTGAAATATTTACAGAATTATTAAATTAATGAGCAGCTAGAAGATTATTTAAGAAATAAGCCTATTTGTTTAAAAGGCATTAAGTTCTCAAAATACAACACATATGAAGTCAAACTGTGTCAATCATGAAACACATTCCATGCACTTAAACTGGTAAAAAGAGTCACTTCAGAATAATACAACATTGACGTAGGACATTTCTTAGAACTAAAGAGAGCTAAGATCCCTCACTGTGTTTAAGGTTCCATTTCCTTCAGACAGATCATTAGGTTCCCCCAAAGTACCTCTCTCTTCCAGCTGGATGTCCAAATTGGTGTTATTAAAGTTTTTGATCCATCTAGCTTTAGCCATTTCTGAGCTATAGCATTAAACAAATCAATAACAAACCCCTGCAACAATTACTGAGATATATGGTATAAATTCCAAGCAACACTAATCTAAGTGGCTGTCTCCTAAGAATCAAGTATTAATATGAACGTATCAATTACTTCATACAACTGGAGAAAGGGGATTTCCATAAAGAATGTTCCTGAATCTCAACAGAAAAGAATACACATATAAATAAATTCATTATTATCTTCTATTGGTTTTTGCAATGTAGACTATGTGAAAAGATATTGATACTACTTACACTGATGTGCGGTGTTCCTTCACTGAAAGGATAGATTGCTGTGCCTGCTACTCACATTTTACTTCTCTCATTAATGACAGCCCACTGGAAACTGAGAATATAGAACTTATCATACAAACACTGATCAGTCATGATGTAATGACAACTTTTGATCGCAATCCTGAGCTGCATTAGCCAAAAGAAGAGAACACACCAATAAAATTAGAGGATGATAGGTGCTAACTAGAGTGGTTGGAGTGTTCCTGATTTTTCTTTCAAACACCAACATCATGTCCAACTCAGTGTGACTATAAGCAAGATATGTGAATTAAATTTCTAATTCAAACCTCAAGAACAGGTTTCTTAATGTCTTGTAACTGCATCAGCTGTGTGCCTGACAATACAGCTAGATCTATTTGGCTAATATAATAGTCAGTGAAATGAGTAATAACCTGACAAGCCCCTTTTCCAGGTTAACACAATGCATCAAACCCTCTTCAAATAGTCATTTTACCTACAGGCTATACACATCTCCAAATTTTCAAAGATTTTGTTAAAATAAGTTATTAAAATAACTCCAGCTTTTGCAGACCATCTCCAAGTGCATTTGGACAGTGAGAAATCTATAAAGACCGTAATGGATCTCCAAACCAACTACAGGTTCTACTTGCCAGGCTGCAGAGAAATTTGCAAAGACACTCTTCAGAAATTATATCTAATGAAGCAGTGCCATCACATGCAGATTAGCTTGGCTCTCCTTAAGTCACTGGGTAAAGAGCCCATTCACATCTTAAGAAGATATGACACGAAAAGGACTTCTATCGTCCCCAGAATATTCTTTCATACAACCAGATTATTCTTTGCATTCATGAATGGTAATAAGGTATTAACCTTTGATCTGACAAAAGTGTTTCCAAGGCCTATTCAGCCTCCAGGGGGGAAGAAAAGGAAAAAAAGATAAAGTTTCCACATATTGTGTTACATAGCCTGTAAAGGTAAATTTACATTTAACAGCTTGGTTTATCTAACAGCTTACCATCACTTTCCCTTTCTTCCTACTTGTCCCTCTTCTTCCACTGCTCTTTCCTGCGCCTTTGCATTTTCCAGTAGCCACAGTTTCACCTTCTATCCTCTCTCTTTACCACATTTTGGCACTCATCAAGCTTCCCTGGGCAATGATCTGACTCATCAGCATAGCAATAGCCACCTTTTAGCTTGGTTAGTCTCAGTCAGCTTAGTGAGCAGATTCAATGAGCAGCCAGCCACGTTAACTGTGGGAATATGGGATATATGGGATATAGAGACAGAAGCACAATGTCTCCTTTCACCTCCACAGAGCCAATAGATCAGTTCAAACTTCTTCCAAAATTTCACCATGAGTGAATACCAAGTAAACAGCAGAAAGTCACTAAGAGGATCCACTTCAGATTCAGGTGAAAATAAGGACAATAATTCTTTTCTGATTAGAAAATGTAGCTATGAAACAGGTCTGAAATCCTGACAATCAAAACTTACACAAAAATAAGGAAACTCTATTATACCAAGTTTTTTGCTCCTAGTTAATAATCACCACTCTAAGGTAAAGGGCTAAGTAAACATACAGCACTGTGTGAAGCAGTAGTGTAGTATTTGAATCTGTTGAAAAATCTGAGTTGGTGACATACTGTCACAGGCATCCAGATGACTCCTCAGGTTCAGCTGCTTGCGCTGCATCGCTTGGCACTCCACACAGCCGGCGTCAGCTGGCCAGAGCCCCGTGTCATTGAGATGACCTCCCTGGCACTGGGAACAAACAGGGGACAGCTGATATTAACAGTTTGAGTGACTGACAAGATGAGAGTTTTCCCTCAGCCTCTGCTTCCAAATAACAAACTCCTCAGCAAAAAACAAGAGGTCTTCACTGAAGAAACCAGGCCTGTATTTGCAACATGCATCATCTGACATAAACAATCTTATCACCTCTGCTAACAATAAAGCTTTGCATAATCTTATCATGATTTGCTGGGTTTTTTTCCATTAATGCTTGGAAAGGCTTACGCAAAACAAATTGTATGTGGGATATTTTTTGCCCACCCACAGTGGAGGATACTGAATATCTGGAAGCACAGGAAGGGTTGCCAGAGTCTGAAGTCATTGTGTTTTCACAGCAGTTTGAAGCTTCAGATAAATAGTTAAGCATACATGCTTATCATACATGTCAGCATGAGGTCTCTCGTGGTCCCTGGACCACTCAGTAAGGTAAGACTGAGGCCTGCAAGGTGGCTGAGTTCACCTCTCAGCTGCCAGAATTCACATTTCCTACATCTTTCTCCTCTTGCTGCTTGTCTCCTTATCAGAATGAAGAGTTTTTAGTCCTTATGCTACTGTTCCTGTCATCTCCTATTGAGCCTATTCAGCTCACTGACATAGTAGATACTCATGGATTTTGGAGTTAGGTTTGTATTCAAGTTTTCTTCTTAATTACCTTCCTGACAGATTAGCAAATATAATTGCTTCACAGATTAATCAGATGAAGGGAAGTGACAGGAAAATGTGGCTGGAAGTGTGGGAGGAGAAAGCAGTAATTCCTCTTTGCTCTCTGAGAGCTATCAGATAAGGCTGATCTCATCTTGCAGAATGTCTGAGCTCCAGTGCTACAGGCAGAGACTAGTTGTTGGGCAGCTTCTCAAAGGAGCAGCATGAGAGCTCTGCCCATGCCTCAGGAGAAGGGAGCCAGCTGACATAACCCACACAGGCTGCTGAATGGCTTCACCACCTCCAGTCTTGTCCCTGCCTCTTCTACACCACACCCTCCCCAGCTCCAGCTGCAGAAAGAGCTCTTCTCATAAGGAATTCCTACTTCAGCTGATGTTCTACAACAAATGATCTGTACTTTTATGGCTTTCACCAGCAGCACTTGGTACTATGGCACCAGTACACCTGGCACTAAGTGCTCACAAAAATAGGTCTGTAAGGCCCTAATTCTGCTCTGCCATCTTACTGAAGTCTCCTAGATCCAAACACCACAACTGTTCTCATTGTGTTCTCCAAGAGAATCATAAAAAAAGAACCAGAAGAATATGAGATGTAATTTCCTGGTTATGGAGTGGTTTATTTTCACTCAATTAAACATAAGCAAACTATGCAATAACTAAAGCTGGTTCTCAGAGTGCTGCTAAAAATTCCCCACACAGCTGGCTAGATAGGATTTAAAACTCTGCCCCATTCTTAGAAGTCCATATCTTCAGCAGTTGGAAAATGCTAGGTTGCAAGCAATGCATTCCACAACATGTTTAAGGCACCCACCCTGAGCATTTCAGATTCTTTGTGGGTTTTCTTGTTTCAGTTTACATTTAAAAAACAAAACAAACAAAAAAACCCTGAGAAAACCCCCCAAACCACCACAAAACAAACACAGTCCTATCAATTACCTGGGCACTTGAACACATTCTATTAAGAGTCTCTCACTGGATATCACCACAGTAATTACACTTAAACTATTCGCTGAAGAGGGATTTTTAGATGAGACACAACAGTGTTAAAGGTGCTTTGGAAAGCCTCCCATATCAAGAGGCTCATAAAATGCACAAGACTAAGGACTGACAAGTCTGGGAACATGAGAAGGGCTACACAAAACATGGTTAACTGATTAAAAAATAATGAGTATACTTCAACAAAGTTCACTGTGTAATTTTAGAAAATAGGGGCAGGATGGTCCATATTTAGCACAATAGCACTTTTAGCTGGGTTCAACTCTATCCTATCAACATGAGATAGACCCCTACCACAGAAGGGACATCTAAGCCTGTGCTGCATTCTAAAACCTCTCCATAGCATTGAAAGATGTCTGAGCAGTAGATGTATCACAAAATATGATTTTTTAAAAAATCAATGTGTTAAAAAAACCTGATGATAATGACAAATAGCAGGTTTTTTAGTATGAGTTTAAATAATTAATTAATTTATAGTTATGAATAGCAACAGGAAGGGAGTTGTACCAACTGAAACATAATAGTCCAAGGCTTTTCCTCCCAGAGATTTAGGGTTTGTAACTACTCAAACAAGTACATGAGGTAGAATTCAGCTTTATAAAATGGTACAAATCTGAGATTTTTGGATATTGTTTTGCTTCAGTAAGAGGACTCATTTCACTGAAGAAATTCATTATGTTAAAAGACCTGCCTAGTAGGGCATTACTTCTCCAAAAATTGCCTTCAAAGCAAAATTTAATCCCTCCTGAGAGCTGGCAGGTGTTTTGTTATAAACTTCCTCTAAGATCCTAAAATATATACAGTTTTTAATAATTTCAAATGTATAATTTGATGGAGGGACATAAGCCTTATTTAGATTTTCAAATTTCTATTCCTTGTTAGTTTATTTTTCACCTGTAAAATGCCAAACTGTGTTTCTAGCTGGAGAAGAGACTGCCTCTCAATCAGTTGAGGCACCCCCAATAACAGACTTTTGGGCCAATTGACAGGATGGCTGCAATAAACATTTGTCTTGAGAGACCTTCAATGAAATTTATCTCCTCCCTATTCCTGCTGTCAGAGTCAAGGCTACACGTAGACAAATGCATAGGGGCAGTACATTTGCTTACTGTAAGAATATAGAGTTGCTTTTTGTACTAAGTCCAAAACACCCTTCTTGTGTTTCAAGCACATTTACCAAAGGCAGCTCATCACAAAGCAAAATTATCAAACTAGTTAAGATGAACAAAATGTGATTCATTAACTCAGTAACCACTCTTTCCAGAAAGTACAAGCTATGTTGTCAGCTGATAACAATCTAATCAACTCCATTCGCTTCAAACTCGTGTTTTGAAAAAGTGAAAGCTTCTTTTTCCTTACCTTTAATGCAATGTTTCTTCTCAGACACAATTGTTTGCTACTAAAATAATCTACGTCTCACTGTACCTTAGGCTAATTCTGTGTTTCAAAAGGCTGATGTTGTATGTAGAGTGTGGCCAGAGAAAGCCACTATAGCTCTGAAGACCATTCCAGGACTTAGACATTGCTCCAGAAATGAACAACAGGACTTGTATTTTCAGCTGTGAAAATGCTTCTATGGTTCTTCTAGATTTTGGTTCATGATATTGCATTTTTCTAAATTTTCTGTAAGACTTCATAATGAAACTCTCTCACCTTGTGCTGTAGATTTTCATTATTATTCTTAAATTAGGTACACAGTGCAAAAGGGAAATGAACAAAGAAATAAGTGAAGCCAAAAAATCCAACCTATATGACTCATTATATGATATGAAACATTTTCTGCATCACTCAGAGAATCTATCCTACCAAAAGAAAAATAAACTTTTTCTTAAAGTTGCAGAATAGGTAGATAGTTTCCTCTGGACATGTTCCTGGCAGGCAGGTTCTGAGAAACCTTGTTCCAAGAACCCTGTGGACTGAAAACAGCTGTTCAGATTTGCTGCTCTAAACTTTACTCCATGGATACTCCTACTGGCAAAGGCAGGCTTACCGGGCAGACAAAATGACAGCTGGTCCATTTCTTCTCTTGCACATAAATCCCATTTAGAATAGGATTAAGATAACTGGAAAACAACCTATTGACTGAACAACAAATCCTGCCTAGCAAGGGGATATAGATGATTCAAACAATTTAAAATATTTGAAGTGAGTTTTAAATAATTTCTTAATAATGGTCACCTATAAACAGAAGCAACATTCTAGAAACCTTCTTCAGGTTACCTCAATTTACTGGTGTAGATTAGGGAAAGACATATGTTAAATACTTTTCCAGTCTGTAACTATATAACATCTACAAGTAGTGTTTTAAAAAACAATTAAATAGTTTGCAATCATAAATTTATGAGAATATTTTAGATTATAAAAATTCTAAGCAATGCAAACCCATTGATTTTAATTTGATCTTGAAATACAAATCTAATTCCTCCACCCATTGAGTGTAAATCCCATTTATTTCAGAGTACAGATTCTAGCCTCAAACAGACATCCTTACTTCTGATGTAATCCCTTGCTGCTTTAAATATTTTTTTAAACGTTCTGAAGTCCACATACATACTTAAAATTTAAGATGAACTTCACAGGGGACAAAGGTAAAACAAGTTGATTTTGGCTTTTTCAATTTGGTAAGGCAGACTATCTTAACTTACAAAAACTTAAACAGAAAGACTGTCTCTCTATTGGCTTCTGCAGGAACAATATATTTATTTCCACGGGGTGGTTGAATTTATTCTCTTATTCATAAACAAAACTTATTTAAACTCCCATGTAATCTGTCTCTTGATACACCTCAATATTCTTGTATTTAAACTTTGCATTTGCTTTAATATTGTAATTTTTAAAATTTCAGGTGCTGACCAAACAAAGCATGTATTAATATGTAAAAAAATAGAAATTAACTCTTCACTGGAGAATAAAAATGAGATCTTTGCAAGTTTGAACAAAACCTCAGGGTGGATCAGAGTATAAAGAAAACAGTAATGAATCCTTAATCCCCAGTGCAGAGGGGGAAAATCTGCTCATGCATATGGAGGAGTGATGACATACTAGAAAGAAGAAAATTGAAATTAAATATTGGTTTCAATTGAATTATAAGGCTGTAATTTCACCATCAAGTGTTCAATTCTGTAGCCTCTTAGAATTTGCTAATAATGAGCTTGATTTGCCACTAAGCTTCAGGTCACTGTACCAACATGTAAAATAAACCCCATCACCAAATCCTGCTGAGTTGAGTCATGCAGTGAATTAGCAGGAAAATCCCAAACATGCTGACTGACTCTTCTGCTGGTGTCCTTACAAAGACTAAAGTTACATGAT